CGCCCGCGCGGTCATTTTCGCGTCGCGAAAACTCGCGAGGGATGTGACGGGGGAGGGAGGGAAACCAATTGCAGTATAATTTGTGATTCGCAGGCGAGACGGACCGGCCGCGGGTGTCGTTGCGGTATAAGCCTCCGGTCCGTAGTCACCCCATCTCCCCCCCGGGACCGTTTTCTTTTTCGAAAGGCCGCGCGATCGATAAAACGGTACGGCCCGGCTGCTCGGGTTTCGCGGCGGAGCCCTGCGCTTTCGGCCGGCGCAAAACGATATTCGCGTCGCGTAGCGGATGTTTCGAAAGCGCCGTAACTTTTTTCTCGCGTTCTCCGACGGATTTGTCGACAAAAGCCTGTCGCGACGCATGGGCACACATAGATAGTAATATCTTTCTCCCGCCACAATTCGAACACGTTTAGCGCCTCCAAACGAATCCAAAACCGAGCTTTAGAACCGTCTTTTATAGGCGGATTGTACATGTCGAGTGGAATTGCACCGTCTTTTATAGGCGGATTGTACATGTCGAGCGGAATTGCACCGTCACGTTTTTGAGAAAGAAGGATGGGTTTTTTTTATTTTTAATTTTTAACATCCCTACAGACCCATGTCGTTTTCGTGCTCGAAAGTCCTGTTTTTTTTAGAAATACCCGGTAGAGTTGTAAAAATCAAAGAAAATAACTGGCTTAAAATCTGTGTACACATAAATATAGAAATTTTCGTCGTGGACGTGCCTTTGGAAGGTCCATAAGAATGGAACAGCCGCCCTGCCTATGTCTGTTTGCTGTTTGTATGTAAAAAATGTAAACAATGAATAATATGTATAGGTGTGGGGGACGGGGGGTCGAATCGTCTCGCGGACCCGCGGTACACCGTGACGGTAACGGGTCGGCCGGCGGAAATTCCGACTCGACACAGCGCGACGGGGCTTTATTGCCGTTTCCCGTCACCCCTCTCTCCGCCTCACCCCCCGCCCGCTAGATTCGAACGCAATACTAATGCAACAATAACGCGTTGCACGGCGGGTACGCGATACCGATACGCCGCGGATTGTATCGCGCGACAATACGTCGCTGAGAGCGCCGTCGCGGGCGGGCGTTGCGACGACGGCGGACGCGGTGCCGTTGCGGCGCACGATAAATAAACTGTAAAACAACTATAACGTGCAACGCAAACGTACCGCGGCGCGTGTACACGGGACACCGGGGCCGGGACGCGGGTATCGCGTACGCGTGCCGCGCCGTACCGTATCGGACCGATCTAAACGGGACTGGTCCAGGTGGTCCGCGCGCGTCAGTCGGACCGGGCCCGTGTCCGTTGCCAATAACCGCGAGGTTTTTTTTTATTTTATTATTATTATTATTATTGTCATTATTTCCCCTCCCTCCTCCATCTACCCTCCCGCCCTCCCACTCACCCCACCGCCCCGTCGTTGTCGTCTCGTCTCGCTCCGGGCACGACTCGGAATCGCCGCGACCCGCGAATCGTACAGAACGTGTCAATATCACAACGAGCGTGCGCGCACGCCGTCCGCGCGGTGTCTGTTTTCCCGCCGTCGTTCGTCCACTCGTACGCCCCGTCCGCTTGTCGGGCGTCGTCGAGACGGCCGCCGCTCCGGCCGTCGTCCGCGGCGGCGACGATATCGTTTTATCGTTTTTTCCCCGCGGGTCCGCCGCCCTGCCGCCCCGACAAACCCCCCGGCCGACAGCGCCGGGCGCCTACTGCGGTTACGATGGCCGTTTCACGTTATTGTCGCGACGGAACGTCAATCTCGGTCAGGTCAGGTGTGTACTGTATTTTCGATGACCGCGGGCCGTCGTTTTCGGGCGTAAAAACGCAATCCCGTAATAGAATAATAATCGTCGAACCCTCTGGGGTTTGAAAACAAAAAAGTAAGAACAAACAAAAAAAACGCGCGTTCCGTTCGCCCGTTTTCGGTTCGTCATAGCGATATTGCGGCGGAACCGCGGACGCGCGACAGTGCACGCCGGATACCTAATGTGCTATTGGTGTATCGTCGCGTGAGTCGTAAATCGGATTCTGAAAAAAAAAAAAAAAAACAACCACTAAATTGTCTACACGAGTGTTTATGAAGCGCTGGTATACTCGTGTAGCACCGAAACCCTCGTACTTTGTTGTATTATAATTTAATACACGAACGATTTTTTTTTTTTCGAAATCATTCACAAATAAGTGTGGGTACACTCGGTAGTAGGTACGCGGGAAACCGAATCGATACGAGTCCCGAAACGTACCGGTCGCGGGGCCGTTGTGGGTGGCTGTAGGTTTGACGGACGGCTACATAATTATCGCTACCGCCACCATTCGGCGTGTTTATCTATCACAATGCGCACTTATTGCCGATAATTGTGCCGCGGGCCTAGCCGTTTGTACGATAATACAATAATAATAATAATAATTATATTATTAACAATATCAATTTATCACGTTATAGTCACTCCCCGGAGTCGGAGCGCCGGAAATATTATCCGGCCTCGTCGCGATGTTCGACGATCGGTTTCGGATTATAACGCGCGCGGGTACTTATCAAATGCACGCGTACAGACGCCGGGGGAGGGGGAGAAGGAGGGGATACCGAGGATAATATAACGCATATTGTGTATCATGACGATGTACGTTTTAAATATTAGCGACGGGTGACCTCTGACGGACAACGCGGGAAAATAGAAAAGTTTACAAATTACACATATCATGACGCACGCGCAAATTTTTATTATTTTTCAAACAAACTCGTTCCGCGAGGTTTACACGACGGACTTTTAACATTCGCCGCGAATCGCCGTGCAACAAGAATCCGGAACAATAAATTTTTTCTTGTGCAATTATCGTCAGTATTATTAAAATAATTAACCGGAGCCATTGTCGATTAAGCGTGTTACGGTTCGGCAATAATTCAATAATTTGACGTCGATCGCTAAAATTAGTAATTATGATAAAGGAAAAAAAAAAAAAAAAAAACGTCCATAATTAATATTGCGATAATTTGTCCGTTTTATCCCCGGACGTGAACTTTTGCTAATAAATAAAGTAACGAAAAAAATGCGGTTTTAAATATTACGCGCAACCGATGCAATTAATTGCAGATAAGACGACGAATCGAGACTTTGAGGGCCCCCCTCCCCCCGGTATCGGAGGTTTACGAAAAGAAAGTGACCGCCCGAAGGACGGGCAGTAAAAATTTACAATTATTTCGTTATTATTTATTATCAACGTCTACGTAACGTTCGAAACGAGCGACGGCTATTTATCGATATATTTGCGCGTTGTTGCGATTCGTTGAGGTTGTTTTAATCGCACGGAATCGGTCTATACGGACGAAAACAGTTACGACGGTACGGTTGTCCGGGGGGATAAAGTGGTAATAAAGTGACTCGGAATCGTTGAAATTGTTCGGATTTTCGCGAACGGTCCTCGATTTGTATTCGATTTTACGGTCGCCGAGTGTCCGACAGACGCTGGCCGTAAAGTCGCACCGCGTTTATACCTATACGTACACACGAAATCCACAGCCGAAACCGTTTTCTAAAAAAACACGTAATCCCGAAAACAACGATAAAACGCGCGGAATGCGAATTCCGAATATATTGACGGTTCGCTCGACGATTGTCTCCCGTTCGCCCGTCCCTTGTATCCGCGACCGCGTTTCGCGTTTCAAACGAACAGCGGCGGTACGCGTGAATTCCCGGAAAACTAGCCGGTGACGCTCCGTCCGCGCGCCGCTCCGAGCGCTCGGAACTACGGACAACGGTCGCGACGACGCGCGCTTCACGTCGCATATATTATTGCCGTTTCAAAGGCTTCCTCGCCGACGAAAACGGTTCACGCTCGCGGCCGACAGTCGGGGCGTTCGCACTCCGACGCCCCGCGCGGCCGCGTGAATCGCCTCGTCCTCCCGTCGCGCGCCGTACCGGTACGCATTACGCCCGCGCCGAGCGCAATATCGCTCGGAGACGTCCGTCTCGGCCGTCGTCGCGCCGACGGTTGTTGTGTTACAATGCGCCGGCATCGGTCCGTTTGAACGACGTTTCCGAATACCGTTCCCGGCGATTTATCGCCGTCCGCTGAACTACACGCGCCGCGCTATTTACGTTACGTGCGCTCCGCGCTCGTTTCGAATAATAACGAACGCGCCGTTGCTGGAAGCGTGCCGCAGTCGTTACGCCGCGACGGTCGGCCGTACGGCCGGTGCGCCCAGCGTCTATAGCGTATATATTGTTGTTGTTGTTGTTGTTGTTATTATTATTATTATTATTGTACCGGTACCGGTACGTTTTCGAAATACGCCGAAGAATTATTTCAACGCGAACGCGAACGTTGTCGCCGCCGCCGCCGCCGCATTGTAAGAGCGTAAAACATGTTGTTCCCTTTGGGATACGTCAATATAGTAACAATGTGTACGCGCAATGCTGCCATACGTACGCACATACGGTACGGTAGGCAACGAATTTAATAACGTTTACTTATGTTTCTTATCGACCGGCGACTTTGACGAGTTTTAATTGTATTGTATTGTACGCGTAACCCGTTCTGAGGCCGTGCCGCAGAGCATGATATGGATCGTAGCGGTCGGGGGTGTGTTCAAAAGGCGGACGCGGGGGTCGGATCCCCCCTATTGGAGTCACGAGTCGAGTGCGGTCCGATATCTGAACCGATATATATTATTTACTTTGCCTGTGGTCATACTGTGATTCGGTGCTTTACTTACTTCACTTTTATACGGTTTCGGCCACCCCGTGGGCAGTGCGCACAACGGAGAGAGCGGATTTTGATGTTTATAAAATTAAAACGTATAATGACAAGAAACGTAGTTTACAAAATTACGACTTTTTTTTTTTTTTGATTTTCCTCGAAGTTTGTTTACTGTATTAGTGTATTTTAAAAAATTGGTTTCCGGTATACAGCACTTTTGCCCGATTCTCGCATTTTAAAATAACACTATTACAGTCATCGCGAAGTCAGTAGCTAATGGTGGTCAAATAGTCCAGTTCTGGATGGCTACCACGGTGAACACAACGCAGAAGCGGATGCTCACGTCGCGCTCGATTCGGATGACAACGACACCGCCAAAACGTTCGGCTCGATGTGGTAACAACGATTGGTCGTTATAGAATGGGTTACAGGATTTTCGGTCAAGTTTAATTTTCAAAACGAGCGTATTCTTTGTGCACTGGACGTGTAGGTATGTATGTAATTTCCAAATTTAATTTGCTCGCGTTGAAAACTGTGTTACGGAGTTGACTCGAGCCCTTCTTCCCCGAGACCGAACATATATTGACCATACGAATGTACGAATAATACACAAATGAACGATAGAGGTATTAATCGTTCGAACCGTTTGGATTGTGTGTTTGTATACTGTTATTGTAGTAATAATATCGGCGGCGACGGGTCGGAGTCACCGGCAATAAAATCAGAGTTCATGTCCTACGTGTCCTATGCCAACGTTTGACGGACGACGGTCAGAGAATTCAAGGCGTGCGCGTTTAAAAAATAAGAAAGAAAAAAAACACGCGAAACAAAAGCGGTATGTAGGACTGCAGCAGTTTATGATGGTTGTAATAATAAGGATTTTACGACTATCAAGAGAATGTCACAACAGCCGCGTCAGTGTTATGCACCGTCGAAGTGTATAATATGTTCTCTCCTACAGGCACATGTCTTTTCGTGCAATTTTACTGTCGTCATTGTCATTGTTATAATATGGAGAAAAAAAAAACAACGTAGGTACCCATATAATATAACAATAATTTATAAAAAAGATAAAATGTATCATTTAGGACTCGTTTACCGCCTATAATAATTATATCCACTCGTTAAACCGTTTGATGTCATATTATGCGAAACTGCATCACGTCTATTATGTTTTATCGCTGCATTTTATACCATACGTATATGGGTAGGTTTTTATTCCGCGTGAGCGTTGCAACGACGCGAGCCCGTCGTCGATAGTTATTAACCATATAAATACACATGTACGTGCACGTAGAAACGCGTTTTGGAATTTCGGATCCAAGTAACGAGTACAGAGTTTAAATTTCCTAAAAATTATTAAAACAATTTAAAAATATCATTGTTGATAAAGCACTAGGAAAATGATTCCGAACAATAGAAAAATTTTAAAATATATAAAATTAAAGTTGCACTTTTCGAGTAGGGCTCTTTTATGACAGCGGTCACCACTAAGATTCTGAAAGGGCCGAATCTAGTTTTTGAAAATAACTCGCGAGCCGCATACATTAAAATATCGAATCTAATTTTTTTTAGCAATATTGTCCTGAAAAAAAATACCTTTGTCGGCGTATTTTTTTTATCAAATAAATTCTTCATCGTACCTAACTAATTATCTGTCGAACTGGTGGTAATTCCATTAAAGTTTAAAATCAAACGGATAGAATAAACAAGAACAGTAAAATAAGATAAATAAAATGCATAATTGCGTGCATTTTATTTGCTCTTTAAACGTGTAGAACGTTTGTTTTTTATAATGTGCAATTCAGATTTGACGTTTCAGTACGGGCCGCCCGAAATTCGTTAAAGAGCTGCAAGTAGCCAAACGACTGTCCAAACATACCGCGTTTAATTATCTGCCAGATCGTGTGTATGTACATTGTATTGTAGTTGTATTTCTGCCACATCTCTTCTTACGGAGTATTTTCGGCAAAGACGCAGCTTTAAGGCCGTAAATGGAAAATAATTTTGACGGGGCGGGGATAGGGGAATCGTAACCTAAATACTTGTGGTTTTCTAATTTTATCGACCGAAATAATTATTTTTCCGCGACACAAAGTATCACGAGTTATTTTGGGGATATTGAACATCCAACCCCTTTCCCCCTCCTCTTCGGGTACGGCCTTGCGAAACTTTTCCAAAGGCGGTTTCCATTCGGATCCTCCCGTAACACGATTTTTCTGTCGAGACTTGTATCCGGCCTGCTTTGCGTTAGAGGCCCCTTGGCTCTTTGTCCCCGGTTAGATCTTTTTCGTCACCGCCCTATCATTACGAGTAACACGGAACGCAATGACACGACTATCGGGTTTCGACGTAATGACGGGATGGGGAGGGGGTCTGAAGAAATGCGGTGTACCGTAGCCCTTATTTAGAGCGGATGACGAAGACGATTCATTGCCTCCTGTCCGTCCGAGTACAATAATATACGGTTCGCGACATTGTCGCAATAAATAAATCGGCCGCAAACACGCCCACGGGTGCGGGTCGTCGGCGTGACGTTCTATTAATTATGATCTCGTATACACCGTACCGAACGGTGGCTGCAGTGTACTCGTATACGGTACGCGCCTTTACGTCACAAGTACGCGGTCAGAGACGGATAATAATTGCGGGGAAAGAAAAAAAAAAAAAATTTGCGGCGCAACAATATTGTAACCGTTTGTGCGGTATTGTCGTGTACGGGCGTCGTCGGGAGCGCGGCGATAATTTGTACGACTCGCGGGACACGAGACGACGCGTCTCGCCGGGTCGATTTTGTATTGTTCTCCGCGAAACCGTTTCGAAACCGCCGACGACGGCGTAGGCCCGACGGTAAAATTATTGCCGCGTACAATTTTCAATGTACTCGTACAATAACATACAATAATAACTGTCTAGTCTAGGGACTTATAGGAGTCTGCGCGTTTTTTTTAATAATCTTCCGAAACATAGCTAGGCGATGTAAAAATTTGTCTCGAGTTACCGGGAACTTATGGTACCGTTTATTTTTACGCAGTATGCATCATATTTTACGTATAGTTTTTTAGATCTTTTTTCACGCGTTACCGCGTACGTTGATAATATAGCAATTTTTATAAGCGCGTTCCACTGAATTGAACGCAAAGAGTTAATTCGATTCGTCTTTGAAATCGGCAAAACGAAATATTGGAAATGCCTCGTTTTTCGACAACGCGCGCGGGCTGAACAATCGGAAAAAACCCGAAACGCGAAAAATGCCCGAAAATCACACCCGACTGAAGTTAGATTATCCGTATCGCAGCTCGACGCGTGTATACGAAATCGTCTGCGTCCGATGTCTGCGGATGAAAAAACCGTCCGTTGTCTATTTCACGACACCGCGCGTCCCCGCGCCACGGCCCTTATTAATAACAGAATACGCCCGGCGGCTCTGCGGCGCGCGCGCGCACGCGTCACCACTCGCTAACGAACCGTAAACGCGGCGGCGGACGTGACGGACGCCGCGACCGGAATCCGTATGAGGTACACGCGCGGCCGACGCGGTCCGGCGGGTACGCGCGGGCTTTTCGAAACGGTCTCGTGTCGGTCCGTTCCCACGGCCGCGGCGTACCCATATGGGGACGAAAAAGCTGCAGGAAGCCGCGTCGCCGTTCACTTCCCAAACGGACGGCGGTAGTATTCCCAACAGGCGGTAATAAATTAACGTCTGTCGACTGCTAGACCGCTAGTCGTCGCATCGGCCGATCCGCGCGCGACCGCCTCTCGGTGGTCTCTCGCGGAGGGCCGCGGTCAACGGTACGGCGGCGCTCCGGTGTCAATCGAAACGTCACGTTTGTCCGCGCGGCTTTCCACTCTGGGACGGGCCCCGCGTTCGCGTCTGCGGACGCGACGCCCGAACGCGGTCCGAAATCGAATTTAAACGTACGTTTGCGGCGTTTTCGGAAAATATGCGCGTAAAATATTCGTGTCCGCATTAGTTTTTTTATCGACAACGTGCGGTTTTAGACCACTTTTACATTTTGAACGGGTTGCGTGAAGTCGCCGGGCCCACTTCACGGCCGTAAATCTTGTGCCGATCAAAACATAACGATAGAACTGTTTTGTTGAACTTTGCATCCCGTCGGTGAGTGATTAAGTCGCTTTTCGATGTTCCGTGTAGTTTTCCTGATAAGTAAGCAAAACCGGAAAAGTTTACGCCAATAACGGTTTCGTTCATTTCGATTCTGTTTTTTAGATTCTGGACGGAGCGAGGAATGTATTGGTATTTTGTATGTGTTTTCCGAAAAGAAATGTTCTCTGGGTGGTACGTAAGAAAGGTCATTTTTTGGAATTCTCATTAATGTTCGAGGTAATGAGGAAAACCTGGTTTTTTGGCTTTTGAAAAAGATTGAACGATTAACATTAATGTCATTGGTAACCATTTTTATTTATTTTTTGTTATTATTAAGTTTTTATTGTTTTAATATTTTTTTAAACTACCATTATTGTCACGGAAACGCACATCGTTGTAACAATTTTACCATAATATGACATATGTATTGTTGACAAAGCAACACGTTCGACTGAGTTCCGCTCGGAATTTTTTAATCGTTAGCTATGGTTTATCGTTGTTTACGGATGTACATTGAATTCCCGTCTATATTCTACCTTCCCAACTTCCCTGTTCCTACTTACAACAGTGACTGCATCCACGTATAAAATTTGACGGTTTTTTTTTTTTTTTATTGTAATTTAATTGGAAATATTCGTATAGGCGTTTTAACAGAAAACTTATTTTTGTGTTTTCTAGACGCGATGAAATTGTCAAAACATTTCGACGATTTTCGTGACGTTTAAAAGGAATTTACATGTTGTGTGTTTTTTTTTTTTTATTTCGAACAGACGAGAACGCTCGACAATCGTACAGGACGGGGCATTTATCGTTTGGAAATTTTACCGTCGAAAAGAAAACCCGCGGACCGCGCACGTTTCCCCGTTCGTTTCGCGTTCAAATCGCATAACGCGAAACGCACTTCGTCCACGCCGTAGCCGCCGGACTCGCGCGGTCCAACGCGGAGCGGTCGCTCGGGGAGGGGGGACGCGTCCAACTAACGGGGCGGGGGGAGGGAGGAAAAACCCCGGACGGGTTGTAAACTTTGATAGGCGCGCGAAAACGGGCAGGCCGCAGTGCGGTGGCCCCGTGCGACGACGACGCGGTCCGACGGCGGGCCGCGGAGGCGGTGACTCGCGGCCGTCCGAAAAGGCGCGACAATCGCGGCGCGTAACCGTTTCCGCCCGTACGGGTTATACGAGTCGCGAGCGCGCGCGCGCGGGGCGGGGGGGGGNGGGGGGGGGGGGGGGGGGGGCCGGCCGTGATTTATTGCCGCGGCGCGCGTGGAAAACGCATTTCCGTATTGCCGCGCGGCCGTCGCGTCCGCGCTCGCGCACCGTACGCGCGCGCGGTTCATAACGACAATGACAATGATCGCCACGTTGTCGGGCGCGGGCGTACGCGGGACGTCGCCGTCGCTCGGACGCGTCCGTCAACGGCGGCGCGAACGCTACGCCGTCGAAACGCGCGCGCGGACGGCGCGAGACGATATCGCGGCCGCGCGACGGTAAAAAACGCCGTCCGAACAAGGGCTGTGAGAACATCTGTCCCGGGCAATGAATAACGCATATCGCTCGCAATACGTATACGTGCGCATATCTGCAGGTAGGTACGGAACGCGTGCGTCCGGCGCGCGCTACCGTCGGGCCGTTTACAGACGTCCGTTTCTGGCGCGCGCGCGCGTTCCCGTAAAAAAATTCGCCCGTTTGACGGCGGCGGCGACCGATTTACGATGCGACCAATTATCGTATCGTATCGCGATAACATTACGTGCCTGCCCGCACGCTCGTATCGCGTACCGCGGTGCGGTCCGCCGCCGCCGCCTCCGGACTCGGTTTTATTCCTCTCTCGTTTGCCGAAGCCGCCGCCGCCGCCGCCGCCGAGTCTTGTTGAAAACCTGCGCGGTGTGACGGTGACCGTGTACGCGACGTGTTTGCGCGCGACACTCCGGCGTAAATACGCGCATTACAGAGAGAGAAAAGAAAAAAAAAAACACATAAAGAAAAACGCCCGCGATCCGACAGAACTCCGTATAGTCGCCACCGGGCGGAGTTTATCGTAGAAATTAATTGCGTTTGTTAACGACATCACGATACGGCGGCCCCCCGCCCTATTTATCTTTCCCGCGCTCGTTACTGGTGTATTTCGTTACGGGCGAGGAACAGGGCCGACCTTTGCGGAGCGAGCGGGGCACAGGCCGCCCCGGTAAAAGGGACATTGAAAAACCGTTCGCTCGTAGAGGGGACCGCGACATTATAGAAACATCGAAAAACACTATACGTACAGTCCGTACAGTCTTCGCGTATAGCTAAGTGTTTCAAAAATCAAATGTCCGGGCCCTTTTCTTCACGTTTACCGGACCGTCAGCGATATCTCATCGAATCGCAACGGATTTTACGGAATTTTTATTAATACTGATAATTTAACGACAAAATTCAAAACGGTTTTTTATACACTTTCCGGCGGAAATATTTTCTACGAACTCGTTAAAACAATATACATAATTTGCTGTCCCCCACGTCAATTCCGTAACTATATATAATAATACCTATACCATAAAAAACGGACATGTTAATACGTTTAATGTATGCATGACGATGACACGTCGTCGTCGCGAACGGAGATCGGGTTTAATTTATACGAAAACGTCTAGAAAATTAGTTTTCCACACTCGACGAGTAGTCACGTCACCGCGATTTCGTTTCATATAAAATATAATACACGTGTTACCTTTACATATGTAATTATTATTATTATTATAATAATATAGTCGCTTCGGAATTTCATATTCAACGGACACGATAAAATATCAAACCGAAACGGCTTCGGGTTTATATTTCATTTAAATATTTATTATTTTTTTTTTATTTTTTTTCTAGAATACCTAACCCGATTGTATTATAGTCCGTGAGATAATAATCGTAATATTGAAATCGTTCGCATAACGGATGCGTATACGTAAAATATTATGATAATACGGTAATATTATACTGCAATCTATCATCCGAAAAGTCACAAATTTAGATATTGAAATCCACGTAATAGGTACATACCGATGGAATATACGATTTATGACGCACCATAAAATATCTATTGCTATCTAAACCGTATTGACTGCAGCAAAATAACGGAGAGTTGTGGAACCGGGTTAGCCGTGAATAGGATCGCACAAAGGAAATCGACTTTTTTCGAAATAAAATCTATTTGGGAATTGACCGTGAACTCAATTATTGAACTGAACATATAGGAAAAACGGATTTTATTATACAGTGAGTATCGGTCGAAAAAAGAAACTGCTCGAAGCATTTGAAATGTGACATTACCGTAAGATGTTCGAAATTTCGTAGTATCATCGCAGTGTAACAAACGAAGAGGATTTTTGAGAAAAACTAAGATAAAAGAAAACTTTTGTAAAATTGTAAAAAATAGTCTGCCGGGGGTGGTCAACGCGCTCATAGTCACATGCAGCTCGCGTCTTATAAGCAAAAACCAAAATGTACTTAATATTATTATGAATTTTAATTAATTTGACATATATTTATTAAAAAAAAAAATATATTTTTAAAATATCTGTTTAAAATTAAATATATTTTAAACAGATGTTAAATAAACAAAAAGAAAATACAATAAATAAATATGAACAATGAATAAAATATAAACGTTTAGCTAA